CTCGGGGACGAAGTCCACCCACGCCGTCCGCAGTGTAGGAGAGAGAATGAGACACGGAGACAGACTCGGGGCGGACCTGTTTCCTCCCCCAGGTGCACCCCACCATGAAAAGCCCCAGCTCCAATCTCTGCAGAAGATGGGGGAGGAGGACTGGACCACGATGGACAGTGTCCCTGGGCCACCCATCCAGGCAATGGCGACTCAGTGTCTGACAAGAGCACAGCGCTGATGAGCAGATCTGGGTGGGCCAAGAATCCAGAGCTGACCAGCGCACCCTGGTGATGATGACACCGTTGGTCCTGAGATCCTGCCTGGGAACACGCTGGTCTCACAGAGGCCGAGCACCAGCAAGGGGCTGGAGGTCAAAGCCGACCAAGTCAGAGGTGGGTCCTGCCCTCGTGAGTACACACGGAAGCAGCAGACCTAGCTGTTTACTAAAGGCAAGATGTGGGGACAGCCAGAATCAGCTACAGCCATCTCGGAAAGAAGTCACGCCCGGGGAGGAGAGGGTGCAGACAGCTACGGCTCGGGGACCAGGCAGGCCGGGCCACGTTGCCCGTCCGAGTCCCCCGTGCTGAAGGGTGTGCTCCCACGGACCCTGACTCCTTGCCTCCCCCGTCCTGCTGCTCCCCTGCCTCAGCTTCCTTCTGGAAGGAATCTAGGAATCAGCACGGCACTCTGAGCTACGTCTAATATGCACCCCCAGATCCAACACGCAAAGGGCGGAGAAGAAAGGATCCCGCCCTCTCTGCGAAGCCAGGACAGGAGCCCCAAGCCCCGCCCCACCCCGCCCTGGGGGCTGTGGCCATTGGGCACCTCTCTGTGCCCGGCGGCTGGTCTTCCCCTACCCACATACCAGGACCTCTGCACGCCTGATCAGTCCTCAGCCGGAGTCGTTCATTTACAGCAAAGCCTAAGTTATGGTTACGACGCCGCCAGGCACGTGTGTGACATCTCCTTGGGAACTCGCCCTCAGGGAGTTCAGAGACAGGGATCCAGGACCAGAATGTCACGAATGAGCTGCACGCCACGGGTGGGTCACTTAATGCTTTCCATAGCCCCGTTGACTCACAGACAGGACCACGAGGCATGTGAACAGGTGTTGTCTGAGCTCTCCGTTAGTTTTAAGAGTGCAGGACTCTAACGCCCAGGAGAAGTCACAGAGCTGAGGCGGAGTCTGCCCCACCAGCCGGAAGCCCACCCCTCCACGAGCCCCGGGCCCCATCCATGCATGTGCTGGGGGATGTGGGTGAGGCCGGAAGGCAGGGGCCTCGTTACAGTCACACAACTGAAGGAGGATTTTACAGGTGGGAAACAGATGCCTCCTATTTTAGGCCTGTTCTTGCCCACAGAATATTTGCAGCTCTGAAGGGACACTCTGCAGTGTCAGCTGCCCGGATTCCTGAGTTGGCCACACGGGAGAAAAAAAAAAAAAAAATCTCCTTACTGGCACAGAAACCTCCGGGCCGCAAGCGAGGGCCAATTAACCAGGTCAAACTGCCAACTCGCCCCAGGATGAGGCTTCTTTTTAGTAAACTAATTTCATTGGCAGGGAGCAGATCAGCGCCGAAAATACCTTCTGAACAAAACACGCCTCTCCCCATGGGAGGAAGCATGAATTACAAATCAGGAATTTGACAGATGAGTGGCAGGCGCATGGAAATTCTGTGTATGCGACTAATCACTTTGAAAAGCAAGATTATCTTTTTACTGTAAATACAAACATTTCTTACAACCCTGAAGAGGGCCAGAAGCCAGGATACCGATATCAATAAAATCCAGGCATTACGGAGCCCATGGAAGCAACAGGAAAATAAAAGTAAACCTCCTGTCAAAATAATAATCAAGCCATTCTCGGGCTGCCTGTCAATACCGCTCCTGTTTTCAGCCCCAGCCCTGAGGCCTGGCTCCCTCCAAATCCTCCCGTGATGAGATGAGAATTCAGAGACGGTAAAAGGCAGAGGAGACGTATCCGTGAAGCTCTGAGACGCGCACACTTAGATTTTAATTGTTTCCTAAAGGAAATGGCTCTTAAGTCAGTTACTCAGGAAATGTGATTTCCTAATCGTCGTCTTGTACGTGTGCATGACAAAATCTGTGTCTTTCTTAAATAGCGGGAAAACCCTCGACTGTCTTTATTTTTTAAATAAGAGGTCATTTGAGCCAAACGGATGACACTTGGGGAAGCTGGATCTCAAATGCTCTCTCCTACTGTCTCCCTGTCTGAGGTATGACTCTCGAAACAGAGTGAGCGATGTCCTCGAGGAAACCCTGGCCGTCCGCGTTTTTATGGGCAAAGCGATGCCGCCTGATGCTGTCTGGGCCTCTTTCCCCACTGCCCACCACTCTGCTACCTATTTTCATGTGATTCTGCGCGTATCCGTTGCCAGCCTGCAAATCGAATTCTAAAACCAGCTCGCTTGGAGTGTGGACTAAGAGTTCTACTCCAGGGAAAGTGCTTTGAATTTCGTGTTTTGAACTTGACTCAGTAGCCTGGGCTGCTCAGGAGACTTCTGGAGGCGGACGAGTTCCAGTATGGAACGCCCAGGCTGTCGGGCACGAAGGATCTCTATGCTGTGAATCTGTCTGCTCTCCATCAAAACAAAAAGCTACAGAACTCTGTTCCGATTGAGCTTACTTATGTTCTCGTTGGCTGTGAGCGGTTCGAGAAAAGAAGTACTTTAAGGCACTAGTGTGACAAGAAAATATTGAGGAAAAAAAAATCAGAGTGGTTTGGGGACATGCGCATGAGAACACAAGTCACAGGATATAGAGAGACGCTGAAGTCTGGATCCCGCCCCTACACACTTTGACTGAATTGGGATGGAGTGCGACTTGGGTATCAGAATTCTGTAAAAGCCTGATAGCATCAAAAGATGACTCTGCTGTGTAGAAAAATTTGGGAACCACTGGGACAAAAGTCCTTTGGCTTAAAGCAGAAGCACACAGAAATGAAATGTCCAGAAATTAAATTTCCAGACAGCTCCGCTGACACTCCCCTCAGTCAAAAGCCTTGACTCCGTTCCGCTGCCCACCTGAATTAAAACCGCCACACCTGGGTGCAGAACGCCTTACTAATCCTGATACACCCGCCTCTCCAGCATCATTTGCCAGACAGGTCCTAGGATGCCCCAACTCGTTACCTTGGCGCCTGCCTCCCCGTCCTGAACGGCCCTCCTTCATCTTCCGTTTTCTGAATGTCTCTGGAAACCCTGCAAGGCCCCCCTCAAATGCCACGTCCTCTAGGGGCGTGTCTGGTCTCCCGAATAAGAGAGCCGACTCTTCGCGCCCTTGGCATATGCCTTTCGTCCCCCGCTGAGCCTCACGCAAGTTCTGCTTCGTACTTAACTATTCATCACATTCCTTTCTCCTCTTCCTCTGTCTGACTCTTCCCTCCTTTCAGAGGAGGGGGCTGGACCTAACTGTCTTCCTACGTCTGAAAAGGAGAAATAAAAAAAAAAAAAATGAGTCGTCGCTACTGCCCAGGCCAATACGGACCTGGCGATGGGGTGTTCATCACAGGTAAGCAGGATCTACGTACCTGCTTAGTCACGGATGTGGAAGGCAGATCAAGAACCAACTCGCATCAAGAGAGGCATGATCCTCAAGGTCCCCCGCTAAAGAGAGACCCTCTAGCACGCAGCGCACAGGCTCAGGAGGCTGGAAGCTCGGCATCCGTAGGCTGCAAGGGCCGTGGATCAGCAGCAGGTTGAAAAATCCAACTCAAACGCTAAGGGGCCTGAAGCTTATCTGAGCTCGGAAGCGTCTCAAACGCCTGAGCAATGGCACTCATCCTTAATTAGACACCACCGGGACTTGAGGTTTTATGCAAGTTTCAGAGAGTGAGTCATACATACACAGTCTTGCAAATAAAAGTCGGGCTTTCGTTTTCAGCCACGTTTTAGTGCATAATACTTTTAGTTAACACACAGCTGAAAGGTAATCACGTCGTGTAATAATAATTCCTAATAAAAATGAATTAAACTCTCCTCTTGGTTTTTCCCTCTATGTCCACCATGAGCTCAGCCTGGAGGGTGGGAATGGGGGGGACGGCAGGAATGTCACCTTAAGCAGCAGGAGACCTTGCAGGTCCCAATCTGCCTAAGAAAACATGCTCGCTGACACCAAGGACTCGGGGCTGAGAAGGAGCCAACCAACAAAACCACAGCAGCAAAATGGCAGAGCGTCGGCTTGCCATCTACGTGACCTGGGACGCGCTGGGGACCGGGCATGGTGGCAGCCTCTTTGGATGTGCAAAGAGAAAGATGTTTTACTAAAGAATCAGCATTCCCGCTGGGGAGGATCGTGTGCTTTTCAGGGATGGAATGAAGAGAGGCCCTCTCGTGATGGAATCTGAAGAATTTAAGACCGACCGAGAGTGAGTCTGGGAAAAGCAGGGAGGCCGTGAAGAAGGCCTTATGCCGTCGCTGTATCTGGGCAGGTCAGATAAATCGACAAGGGGACGCTTTCCCATGACCCTCCCACCTCTTTCCTTCCTGAATCATCTCCCCAGATTTTCTTTAGAGGGAAGTCACTCACTGATGGATGTTTCCGTTTATTTCGAAGCGTTAGCATAAAGCCTGGCAGGAGCTGCATATAAAAGGAGGAGCGTGAGCAGGTCAGTCGATATGCAAAGGTGCACACGGACGGACGAACTGCTGGAAAGAAACCGGATGCAATAAACACCGGCTTTTATTTTATCCTCTGGCTATTTTAAAACCCCTCTCACAAAGCACCTCTCTGCAGAAGGCAAAAATCCTATCGATGGCGTAAATCCTACAGGCTAATCAATAAAAACAATTTTGTGAATCAAGATTTCTTTATGACAAAACGTACTGTCCGTACTTCTCCAAATCTCTCATGTTCCCATATATTTTGAAAGACGGCATGTTTTTTGTTTTTTGTTTTTTGGAGAGATAAGGCTATGTAAACGGTGATGTCACGGAGAGGTGAGCCCTTCAGACCCATCCCTGTCACTCCTGGCGGGAAAGGACCTCCTGGCATCGCCGTCCGCTGTTTCTCTGGCCACAGTGGGGCACGCAGCCCTTGACCGATGGGTCACGACAGTTTTCCAAACCAGCAACATCCCAAGCATGGGGAGTCACGATGACACTCCTCCCACTGGAGGAGGTGGCCTGTCACTCAGGTTGCTTCTTCCTTACTTTTTAACAAGAAAGCGTTCTTACCTTAGTAATGCAGAGTTTTGAAAGCACGCTACTTATTCTGTAATAGCAGAATGACAGTTCGGGAAAGTCAGAGCACTCACCCCTCCAGCTGCTCCTCTCCTAAGATCTGGCGAAGGTTTTTCAGGAAGGACAAGGACACCAAGGCGTGGGAATGACGGATCTTCACGTAGCCCGTCACCACCTCAATAAGCCCCATGAAGTTCTCCAGCTCCGAGGCAATGTTATCTACAGGAAGAGGGGACCATGTGACTGTGAGGTCGCTGAGCGTGAGGGTGACACACTTGGTTTCTCATTACCACGTGTGGAGAGAGAGTCCGTGGGAGGTCTTATTGTGATGGTCAAAAACCGCTTCCCTAATAAACTCTGTAAGTGTCTAACCAACGTAATGCATGTTTGAAACTAATAATAAAATAAAACGAAATAAAATAAAACGAAATAAAATAAATAAAATAAAATAAATAAAAATAAATGGAAATAATAAAATAAAACAAAGTAAAATAAAACAAAATAAAATAAAGTAAATAAAAAATAAAATAAAATAAAAAAATTAAATTAAATTAAAACAAAACAAAATAAAATAAAATAAAATAAAATAACTGCTTCCCTCGCCTCGACTCTCAACAACCTCTCCCAGGACAGGGCCCCGAGGCAGGGGAAGGCCAGTTTCTAGATGGCTGGGTACCACAGCTCCCGGGCTGATCGAAAGAATGTAAAATCATAAATTCCAGACTGTCAATCAGCTGAGGCCAGCAAGGCGAGGGAACGTCGTTCAACATACTGTCGACAGATAGTATGTCTGTCTCTTCGTGTGGGGGTGCCGCTGAGTAAACGGGGTTCCCCGGCCTCGTTAGGGGTGCTCCTGAGGCAGCTCTCGATCCTAAGACACGGGTTCTGTCTGTATTTAAAGATTCCACATTACCAAGACTGGAAGGAAACACACTAATACGTCGAGACTGGCTATCTGCAGGTGGTTTCTGAAAATCCATTTCTGCATTTGTAAGTTTTCTGTGTATTCTTTTCATAACTAGAAAGTAGCTGGGGAAATGGTTGCCGATGCGTATGGAAAAGTGACATTATATAAACAGTGTGTTCCTTTCATTTTTGTTTAGCCTATCTTTTTCTCATTGTAAAAAAAAAAAAAAAAAAAAAAACAAGAAAAAAACTTGTGTTCAACTTACGCCAAAATATATAACAAAAAACAGCATAATGAAACGGGTGTGGTTTGACTAATGAGATTTTACCGAGTATGATTTGTGAAGATTTATTTAATAAAAGGTTTTATTTTGCTTTGAATTGATAGAAATAAAATTAAGGACACTGCCCTGGAGGGTAAAGCTCTACCTTTAATGTGCTGTGTAATGTTTTTCTAAGAGAAATTAAGGAGAAACTCAAATTGTAAAGACTAGAGCTTGTCTAAAGTGGGTGTTTTGAGGGAAAGATCTAGAACGTTAAATGTGGAGAAGGCTGCATGCCTTTAACTTGGGCTGGAGACTGACCTTTCCGATCTCTTTTTAAAAATGAAGAGATCCAGTACGAGCAAAAAGAACAAAATTGGAGAAGTACCAGGAGGGTCAGAAAATTCTAGCTGAAGGGCTGAAAAACGTGAAAAACGAGCGATATCGAAAAATTCAAAAGCGCTAAGCAAAATTTGTTCCCGCCATCTCTAAATTGTAAGAATATAGCTCGCTCCTTCGACGAATTGTAGTTAAGAAAAAGTAAATTCATGGAATAAACAAATCACATCTTTCTCCCTCACACTGTAAAAAACAATTTCTATTCAAAAGGACGTCGAAAAAAAATTCCTTTCAACCTCAAGGTCTTCTTACTGTGTTTATTCTGGCTTATGAAACCATCAGCACCTTGACCAAGAGGTCCTGGTGTGGAGAATTTATAGGGCCATTATTAGAATGGACCCTTGTCCATTAAAGATCGGAAGTGAAAATATCACAGAATAAGTCCGTGGGAACTGCTCTGCACAAATGCCATCACTAGGAGCGCCATGGCCACCGCAAATGACGGTCGCCGTCCCACGGGGATGAGCCTGAAACTTTAAATACATGATGACACACGCTTAAATCTTTTTGGCTCTCAGAAGCAAATTCAGAGATCGACTACTCTTTTGGACTTCATGAAATTTTAAAGTGATAGCATTAAATATTCCCTTTGCTCAGGCTCCTCAAAAGAGCTAAGTAACCAAAAGTCTTTGGACTTAAAGCTGTGTGGATCTGGCTCCCACTGGAGACGGCTGAGTCATACCCCTGATCCATCGTCTCCTCTGGGGTCTGTGTGTGTCGAGACGTGCCTCTCCTACGTAAGAGGCGACTCACAGAGAGATGACAGATGACCCTTTACAGGAATCAACGCTGAGCCAGTGGCTCACAGCAGACTGCCTTTCTGTTTGTTTGTTTGTTTGCTTTTATCTTAGAGGGAAACTCAATGGAGAGGCATCGAGCACGAGGCTGACACACCACATTGTTTTTCTGGGCCTCTAGTTTACTTGTGAGTCATAGATGAATAGAAAAAGCATCAATGAAAGAAAACCAGGAGATCCAGCCACGTTTTCCGGGGGGATGGAATACTTACTGCCTCGTCGAATATTAATGAGCAAATTGCCCTTGAATATGGTGCATCCTTGGAGCATCTGAGCAGAAGTAACCGAATCAATGGTCTTCGTTTTCTTTTCTTCCTCGCAGACTTTGGGGCAAGGTCCTTCGCAAGGGATGCAGTACATGCTGTCGAAGATAAAGAACCGACCACGGACAGAAAGGTCAGAGCGTCTCCTTGCGTTGAAAAAAATCATAAGCATGTTTTTTTTCTAGCTGTTTTTTTTTTTTTTTTTTTTTTTTGAGTACACGTTTATAAAAACCAACCATTTTGAAGCATTCAAGTGGTCACACCATAATGCGTCCCCAAGCCCACCCAGGAACAGCCACTCAGACTGCCAACGAAAAAGGAGAAAGGGCCTGCTTGTTTCTAGATGAAATTCGTGATGCATCCTTGAAGCACGTGCGTATCATAGGCCGTCAACCGGGGAGCCAGCTGGTCCCACGTGGGAGAAACAGCCTCGCAGAAAGGAAGGGCTCTCCGGCGTCGTGGCTCCTGCCTGGCACACCCTGGGAGGCTGCACGCGGCAGAGAAAAGACAGCAGTGTCTCTGCCTCTGACAGGAGTCTCGCTCCCGTGGCCAGCATCCTGGCGAAGCCCAGGCAGGCATCCGAAAGGCATAGGGTACGGCGCAGATCTGTTATTTTCTTGCTAAAGCCTCAGTGACGTTATTTCTTGACGATGTTTCGCAGAAACTTGTAAATTGATCCAAATGTTGTTTTTGCTGCATACACAGTAAAAGCAGGGGCGTTCCATTCCCTTGGAATGGGCTGTCCTATCTCAAACGCTCTCTTGAACATGCGACAAAGCGCCAAGCGTCGGGAATGAGGGCCTAAGGCTGGCGCTTTCCCTGCTCACCTACTAGCATTTAGGAAATAGTGAGCAAAGTGCTCAT